ATCAAGTGCCTATCAGTAAACAATGTCAACGTTATAGCCCAATGGGATACCACTCACCCTACCGACAGTCTTTAAAGTCCCACGAAGTATGACATAGTCTATTTTAAGCGACCCAGAAAAAAACAAGGGTGAACAGTAAAGAAGAATAGGTAAGATGCCGGAGTTGTCAAACTGTAAGACGGGTGGAGTTATGCTCGATCGTCGGAAGGAATACTTTACTAGAAATCGCTAAGACATGGGAAGACAAGGGATAGAGCAGAAGAAACACAATTAGTCCACGATAATTAATATCTGACTTGATTTCTACATCAATATCATCAATTTTACAACGGTCAGGGGGGGAATTAACAGTCTGACATTTAGAAGGATTAAGTTTAAAACCATTAGATGAAGATCATTTTTGTCTTCTGATAGAAAGCTATGCATCTTAGTACAGTCTAGAGCTGGGAGTTAACAGGTACTGAAACAGTTAGATCATCAGCACATTTAACAAAGTTCATTCCATCAGAGTGTGTCAAGAAAATCATGCAAAAGGAAAGAAAACAGAAACTGAGACAAAAAAACACCTTGAGGGATGCCAGCTTTAGTAAGCAATAATGAAGTGAACGACAACTTCCCCAGACATACAGTAAATTGCATTGTATGCAGTCAACAACCCAATACTCATTTTGAGGTTCAGCAAGCTTAATTAACAGAATATCCTTAGGTACCTGTCAAGAGCAGATGCATAAACTAGGAAGGTGCAGTGAACAAATTTAGCCTCTTTGTTTAAACTAGACACGATGTTATGACTCAAGACGGCAACAGCTCTATCTAAAGTGCTTCTACTGAACATACAAGCAAACTTTTTGGAATCGTCAAAGGCTTTAAGTGAGGGCTCAAAATTAAGTATTATTAGCAAATTTACCACAGTTTTCAAAAAAGGAGAGATTATAGCAATAGGTATGAAACTGGCACATGTTCCAGCAGACGACTTGGGTATAAGTACGCTTTTGATATCTTTATAAACGCCTGGCACAATATTTCTGGAAAGAGATTCACTCATATTTGTTATGAAGGTAATTTTTAGCGGCTATGAACCAACCCACTGTGATAATACACAAATTATCCTTCAAATACACAGTAGGTAATGTTTAGAAAGCTGTTGATGATTTATTATACTGTAACAGCAGAAGACAAGACACTTTGTCTGTATCACACCACCACAATAATACAAGTAATGAAAAGGAAGATTTACGTATGTACCAAAGATAAAAGAACCCAAAATATTGTATAACTGGATTTCAACTACTTCATAAAAGAACATAACTACCTTGAAACTAGCCTTTGGTAAGTAAATTGACTAACAGAGAGATAGATATCCTGAAGTTCTAATTTTTTTTGATTTTTTGATTTACAGCTTGATTCCACACTGTATTTTCGGTACAAGTATGGAATTTTCAGCATGGATATCGGTAGCCCAAATTTTGCAGGCCGACCATAGATATCAGATGTGTGTCGGTGCGGGCTCGAACCCCGAACCATGTGCATGGTCGGCGAGAGTCCTAACCACTGTGCCACCGACGCACATGTCATGACTTGTAGTGCTGTTCACCAAGTCGACTGTGAGTACAGACACATTCATGATGGTAGTTGGAGGTATGTAGCGAATTGATCGAAGTTAGAATTCATGCATCACTGGATGTCGACAGAGCAACTGAATGGTAACGTGAACGCCTAATAACATGATCATTAGGGGAAGTAAAATGCCTACTGACGGAGAAAATTTCGAAGCAGAACGAAATGACTGTCAACGGCTTTCTAAATGATTTCGATTCAAGTACGAGACCCACCTTTTGATAACAAACACTTAGTCAAGCATGGATAAAAAATATCAGAAGCTAGTTAACCAATTAGAACACTTTAAGGTGTACCTGATTTTTTATTTCTAATGCTTTCGTAATATAATACCAGATCATTTCGAGATAATGACTGGTATGATGCTTAGCAGACGTTGTCATCCAAAAAAAAGACGAAACAGATAGTGTTTGTCGGTATCAGAGAACCATTATTCAAAATAAATATTGCTGCACCCTAAGTGTCGATATAATTATGATGAAGTCTAAATCAATCAAATAGGACCATCTAAAATCTTGAAGATAGAGAATTATGTCAATATCTAGACTTTGAGAACGGACAAGCTCCTTTGTTAACCGCCATGAAGTTGCGGTTCATACATGCACTGACGTCAATTAACCTTAATGAACAGTTCTGATTCTCTTTTCTGAATTCTCAGAAAAGTTTTGATGTCATACAGCCAATCACATTTAAAAGAATGGATACTGAACAAAGAATACTCTTCTCGAAACCTTCATCATCAGGCTCTAAAGTGATATATACATTATAGAGAATGAATGAATTAGTGCTATGAACAATATTAATGCTGTTGAAATAACATCAAATCAATAGTAACATCAATAGATTACAGTTCAATAGCATCAGCATAAAATGAGCTGAATGTCAGAAGAATTAGGGAGGATGATATTACAAATTCATGAATTTATAGTCTCTACTGAAGGCCAGGGCAGTAGTAGTGGCTGAACTTGCTTCTTCTGCATACAGAACAGAGGTTGTTTCATGAGAATTGCAATAGCCTCTGCAGACTGGAGTATGCGGTACTTCGATGATTTTGGTAATTAGTTTGGCACCCGGTAGATGATGGATAAGGATTCGTTAATTGAGGTTTTGTGGCCGGTTCGGACTAGATGTTCTAATATCGAACTGTTACTGGTTTTCACTACACCTTTACTTAGCCATAGCGGGAGATGTTCTCGAGCACAGAAAATCCAGTTCCTAGAGCAATGGCCGATTTAACTCACTCCACAAGTGCAGTTGAATTGGTAGATACAAGAAGGGGTAACTAGTCTAGTCTAGGTACTTCATCTTTCAGTCGAGTAATCACCATCGGTCGTGTGTAGTTTTCCAGCATTAAAAGTTCTTTGAACTGATTTTCTTGATTTCGTCGTAATTATTTCGCTTGGTATATCACCCTTGAATTGCTGTCGTATGTATGAAGGCTTCTTGTTTACGGATAGTGGGTAGTCCTTTTCCGTTTTCTTGTCATGTGTTTCTTGATAAATTTCTCGGGATAGCTATTTTCAATCAAAGTATCATATACAATGCTTAATTCATCTCAATTTACTTCTTCTAAGCATATAGCTCTAACGCTGTGGCTGAGGGTATTTACTAAATTCCTTTTATACTTGATAGGAACGAAGCTGTAAAAATGTGTATATTGTCCTATTCATGTATTTTTTCTATGCAAATTCCTTTTTATGCCACCATCTGGCTTTTTCGTAAGGATGACATCAAGGAAGGCATTTCTGTTTTGGGATTCCTCTTCGCAAGTGAATTTCTTAGCAGAATGTACATTTATTATATTTATGGCTTAAATTTCTGAGGGTTTGAATGAATATAACATGTATTTTGACTAATTAACGTTGATTGGTCGTCTTCTGCAGCCTAACTTTTGTGTCTATCTCAGTGTGCACGAGACAATTTCAAGTGACTAGTTATAGGTTATAGCCTTGCGTTCTGAAGGTGCATTCTAGTCAAGTTAGATAAACTCACACTCAGTTTCATTCCATCTTAACATAGAGCTACAAGACTACTAGTGCAATCAGTCAACAAGACTGTCAATGTACACTTTTAAACAGCAATTACACAAAGATGGTTTAACTACTTCTCATACTTCACATCGAAGTTGTATCGATGTACCTCTAGAAGATTGTAGACTGATTTGAGTGCTTAACTGAGCAGTACTCACTCAACGTTTCAGATTGCGCTGAATAAATCTATGTCTGTGGTTGCCTCTGCCTGCCAATTGATGTCCATGCAGCAGATTATGACCATTTCGTCTAATTTTGTTCATTTGTCCTGTGTATTTCAGTATTGTCTATTTGTGGAGACTAGGACCCCAACCGGGAAGTCTACACCACTTTAAGTGGCTTAAACTAACTGCTATGTATTTCACAAACTGATAATGACATGTTTTAGTTTGACCACCATTAACTCTTTTCCGACCATGTCAGCTAACATCGATCATAGAAGAAGGCGATCGATGAGTAGACATGCTTGCGTACCACATGTGCTAACCATTTCACTCAGTGTAACTGCTTCACAATCTCATCGACTGACTCTCCCACCTTACCTAACATGTGACACCTAACCTCAATATTACTCACCACTTAATATAGGAGATAGAACGCAGACACCTATAATCAAAGACAGCTAGCCAGGCTTTTCATGTCTTCCATTTTCAATGACTATGTCCTATTCCCAGCCATAAAGGAGAACAAAGAGAAGTGCTGATTGGTACACACGCCTTTTGGTTGATAACCAGCAGAATATCACGTCTACGTCAGATTTTACTGAGATATAGAGCCTTTCCGAATATTTCTGTTTATTACCCCTTGCCCCCTCCCCAAATGTAGGTTTTTAGATCATTTACATGAGTGAATGGTGATTTGAATGCTACACAACATGTACACTAGTGAGATTTCGTACAGAAGTCAATGACTTTTTTGTAATCCAGTGAAAAGCTTGTAGATTTTCATCATCAGCTGCTTTCGCTGGCTCCATATATTGAAGATGAAATGGCCATCTGGCCAGCCAGAAAGAATTAGGAACAAGAAACTCTGGCTGACTGGGGACAAACCAACCAAGAACCTACTGGTCAACAAGTATGTAGGAGAAAATGGAGATGAATTGAGCACATGCTGAGAGGAGACTGTCGAATGACATCGTGCACCAGCCAGGCGATTGATCGAGTGGAACCTGAATGGGAAACGACGATTCAGGCATCTGTGGGTGACATAGAATACCACAGCGAAAGAGGACCATAGAAAATAGAACAAAGTGGATATGTGCTGTCGAATCCCTACATTCCACTCGGAACCCAAAGGAACAATAAATCATAATCATAATAATAATGGTGATAACTTCAACCCCATGTACTATGAAAGAGAATAATAAACCACAATACTCATATGAACATATTATAAATCAATAACGTGATGTATGGATATAAGAGAGAGAAATATACAAATGAAATCACAAAGGTAATTCTTCTGGTCTAATCGCCAATCTAACATCTTCAGGAAACAATTCACTAGCTCTTGAATGCATTGAACGATAAGTACATGTGATTGTAGCTTCAGCACAACCTGCAACATCACCAATTTCTACAACAACAACAAAAAACAAAGAGAAAAATTGAGAATTAACAGTATATGTGTAGTGAGAGCAAGCTGCTAGCCAATTTAATTTACGTCAATGTCTAGGTCACTAAAATATTAGCCGTGAGAAAATATGAACAAGGCTGATTCAACAACCAATCACAGCAGACTTAACGTGGGCAAATAAGATTCGCAGATAGATGGCTTAACTATCCGAGGAACCCGAAACAATCATTCAGAAGTCTGTGTTTGTCTGCTTGAATAAGCTGTAATAATATACATGAAATATACGTAAATACGTGCTGATTTCCCTAATAAAAACGATCTGTTGCCGGCCCTTGTCTTCTGTTGTTACATATGAATATCAACATTTGCAGCATAATTTTACTCAATCATTGTAAAAAAAAGAAGAAAGAAAATTGTCACTTTTTCGAACATAAATTTACACGAATATACACAGCCAACTTTTGATGCATCACCAATCCATTATTCATCAATGCGAGAAATTTGTAAATCATCACTTTCACTTTTGTGGGCAGCATTGTTCCAATTAAAAATGGGGGGGACGGATAAAGATATCAGAGCCAGGATTACAAAAGACACAAGACACACACACGTTCACATTATTTTCTAGAATCACTGTTGAAATCTACTGCACTCACTAAGGATAAAGAACGAGATATGGACTTTCAACACTCTTAATCGCAAATCAGTCAACGTTTCTATACACACTTCATAGACTTGGCGCCATTATTATTATATCCTTTAATTCCTAGAGGAACATGGGGCTTCAGCTGCCCATCTTCATTGCCTTCGGTTTCCTGCCAACTTTTTCACCCCGCTCCGAATCTGCTCACATGCCTTCATCTCCTCCTCACATGACCTCCTCCATGTCACCCCTCCCACTGACGACTAACTCGCCGCTTCCTTTTCGGGTTCCACTAGAGCGATGGCTTGTCTAGTGATGTCACTTGATGGTTTGTTTTCTCAGAGTATGGCTAGCCAATCCATCTGCATTTCTTCCTGCCTATTTGTTTCGCAATCGGTTTCTGGTTGATTAGGTTCTTAGGGGTATTAGGTTCTTCCCTACTTGTTCGCCTCTGTTACATGTAGATTATTCACTAATATCACTCTTGATAGGATGGACCACCCACTGGTGTGAGCCGTGAAGTCAAGATTGCTGCATGCAGTAAGATGACAACCTGATTGGATGGATTTTGGTTGGAGAATTTTTAAGATTATATAAGCAATCACAGATACTGATTATTTACCTGAAGCTTTAATTTACCAAAGGATTTGTAAACTATATATACCACATATTTTAAACAATAAAAGTTGGTTATTGAATTGAATTTTTGATTTCCCCGTCGATTGATTGGACCGAAGTGCTCGGTCTCAGGTTGACATGTCGGCTTCTTGTGCAGATGCTTCGACGATGTCTGGGCATTTAATTAGTATACAACTGGTGGATGGTGGCTAATTAAATGCCCAGATATCGTCGAAGCATCTGCACAAGAAGCCAACATGTCAACCTGAGACCAAGCACTTCGGTTCAATCAATCGACGGGAAAATCAAAAATTCAATTCAATAATTAATATGACCCGTTACACAAGAGGTGGCTCTCGTGGCCCAAGTGGTCTAGTGGATAACGCTTTGGCGTTTGAAACTATGGGAACTGGGTTCGAGCCTAAGTGGGAACATCATCACTCACTGAGAAGTGCAGGTACATCCAGATGACGAGTCCCAAATAGGACGAAATGTGCATCCTGGATTCCACTGCTAGCCACCATCCACCAATTGTATAATAAGAGTTGGCCGCTATTGTCGCAGTTCAATCTGATTTTTGTGTCCATCCCAGGGGGAGGAAACATTTTCAAGTGATCGGTAATTGGTTAGTACTGTGTCTGGAGGCACATTCTAGTCAAGTAAGACGATAACCATGAATCAGTAAGAACGTCTCGGCAAAGTTAAACAATAGCGTCCCAAGGGATGCGAACGCATGAGTGTCCTTCAGCCAACCAACCATAAAAATAAGTGATTTTGCAAAAAAATGACGTATATTTAAAAGCAAATACATGAAAACACGCCAAACAGGGCATCTTTCTCTGACATGACTTAAAAATACGTCCCAGTTATAATGAGGAGTATTAGTTGCTAAGTTAGACTAGTTTCTGTACATGTATTCACTGAGGGAACTAAAGATGAGCTGCTTTTGTGACCCATTTATCCCTCTCATGCTGCTGTGCAGTCCTTCCGCAAAGGCCCTCGGTTGAATTACTATGGTATCCCGTAAGGGAATCGACGACTACTTGCCAGGAAATGTGGATAAAAAAATTAATTAAAATAAATGACATCTACTCTAAATCTATCCTTAGACGTAACCCTAAACTTAACAATAACCTTAATTACAACCCTTACCCTAAGCGTAAACCTAACCCTGATGCTAACTGTGACTAAACATTAACCTTAACGTTGGTGCTAACCCTAACTATAACCCTTATCCCAATTATAAATTATAACACCCTAATTCTAACCCTAGAGAGCTAGTAACACACTGTCTAAACGGTACTTACAAACGTGATCTGGTTGAAATTTGCTCCTTAGTTGGTGAAAAGCGTTCATATTTGTGCTGTAGTAATAACAGGTATCCTCAGCCAACGATTAATATGCATTCAAGGTCATCAGAGCGTTTGCGTCCCTTGAGACGCTATTGTTTAACTTCGCCAACTATTGTGTTCCTTTCTATATTTTATTTTTCTTCTCATCTTCACACATTTTAATCAGACACTCAAATGCCTTACTTCTCATCGAATAACAATATTCCTTTTATTAAATTTCCAGCCCTTACTTCCATTGTAACATTGACTAGAACATAATTTCTGTCTTTAGAAACCAAATCAGAGATATTGCATCAACTATGTCACACACGTGCGTCGGTGGCATAGCGGTTAAGACGCTCGCCGACCATGTACATGGTCCGGGTTCGATCCCCGACCGATGCACTCCTTTACACCTCGCTAAGCCAGATATAACGCTGGTAAAGAGGAAAGGTTGGGCATGAGGCTAGCAACCCCATCCTGTAAAATAAACACTGCTACAAAATCTTCAAACCTCTAGCTTGAAGCCCTATGTTCCACTGGGGAACGTGAAGGAAACCAAAAATATGTCATACACACCCTACTACTATTAAATAATAGACGGTTACACGTTTCCGGTAAATATAAATACGGCCATACAGTCTCCGAGGATGACTTCATCTACAAAGACAATTTCCTTCGCTAAATTGCATCTCACTTTATTCATGGCTAAATTCATCATTTAGGCATTAGTTAAAGGTTTGATTAGGAGCTGATATCAGTCAAAGGACCATTATAAACCACTACAAGGAGTACTAGACAGCTAATTCTTTCATATTTTGGAACTCTTCACAAGTACACGCCCAACAGGGTTCAAACCCAGGAGTTACAAGGTGAACTCGTAGGTCATTCAATACCTAGACCCGAACCAATGACCAGCTCATGAATTTCAACTTCGGCCAATTCGCGATATATATAGTACAACCGCCAGATATCAATAGGCGAGTAACTCCATTGTGGGTAAAATTTATTTTGATAAAGTCTCACAGTATTATACAGTAATATTTATAATAATGGAATTATATAAACGAAGTTACAAAGTTATGTGAGGACCCTGATATGATTATGAGTAGCAATAAATTGTACTCGAAACGTCTTCATCAGTGAATATTATTGCATAACACTGCGAGACTTTACCAAAATAAATTTTACACATAATGGAATTATAGTCTGCTACAGTGCACAAGTTCTATTCTTAAATCAAGCGAGTAACTGTTCTCTTGCCAGACTCGGTAGGCCCCGCTGGAATTAAGACTTCTTACTAGAACTCTAGGTAACTCCCTTTATATAGTCAGTGTCTAGTTAGTAGTAGCACCAGATTAATTATCGAGTGTTGGTTTACAGGATTTCATCATGAACTGACATTAGTTAGAGAACCATTGGAAAACCTGGGAGTACTGGACAGCTGTTTCGTCAGCCTAGTCTGGGACTCTTCGTCAGTACACACCCATCGCCACAGTTGGAACCCAGGACCTTCTGGTTACAAGGCGAGCTCGTATACCATTAAGCCACTGGGACCCACCGTGTTGGTTTGCAGACATTTGATTGGGTATATGTTTGGTCATGAGGTATTATCAGTGTAGAGCCCCTTCAGCGACCACTTTATGTAATATTTTAGAGATTTTGTAGCAACAGAAGACAAGGGCCAGGCAACAGATCGTTTATTAAGGAAATAAACACATATTTATAGATTTTCATGTACATTATTATAGATTATTGTTAGCAGAAAAACACAGTCTTCTGATTGGTTGTTTGTCAAAGAAAGTTAACCTTGCATCTCTTTGTGGATGTTTCTTGAATGTCAGATCATCTATATGCTAACTGCATCCGCCTACGCAAAGTCTTTGTTCCTATTTTTCTCACGGCCAATATTGGGACATAAACACTGACGTAAATTAATGTCTACCAATTTTGCTAGCAGCTAGCTCTCACCACAACTTCACCAAGTACAAACCGAAGTATATGAACAAACACAACTAATTCAAACAAAATAAATATTCTACAGTCAAGAAGCAACAATTAAAAAATTTACCTCGTTTCTCTTTCCGGTAACCTAATGCATAAGCAGCCATATAGATCGCTGCTGCAGCCACTGAAACTGGACTTCGACCAGCAACCAAATTTAAGTTCAACGCTCTTCTGGCGACCACATTTGCAACTCTTTGAACAGCAATATTCAGATTTAAGTTACCACAGAATCTTGACATAAAGTCCTCGACTGTCACAGATTGTACATTTGTTTCCAGGATCTTTAGAATCTTTTTAAAAACTTTGCCTATTTCTTTTTTCGATACTCGTGATACAGCGCACACCTCTGGAAAAAAAACAACAAAAGACAACGTAGATGATTTTAACAACATATGTACAAGTTGGAATAAGTTAATATTCTTGTTTTGAAGTCACATTTTGTAGGGATTTGATTGGTTCCAGGTTTCATCTTGGATTGATGTCAGTAACAGAAACACTGAAAATACTGGACGCCTATTTTGTGCTAGTCGGGGACTCTTCAGCAAAAAGCACATACAACGCAACCACCTGGGATCGAACGAAAGGACCTTCAGGTTACGAGTCAAGCTCACTGACCATTTAGCCATTGGGACGGACATCCAATGACCCATGAATTCTAACTTTTATCGATTCGCGATAGCCAGTAGGGTCCATGGCGAGTACTGATGTGGAGTCCCAAAGTAGGACGAAGCATGTGTTTTTAATGCTTCTCTAACTGGTATCAATCTGTGATCACACTTGAAATATTCATGTGTCAATCAGTGACCAGTCACACTTACGTATATAAACAACTATTGCCGTCTGGAGATGATGAATTTAAAATGAATTATTTGGTGTACCGAGGGAAATTTACAGAGGAAGATCAAATTGAGTTTGTTTCTCATTTAAACAGTTGAAGTGTGTTGAGTGATATGTAATTTGTAAAAGGTTAGTGTACCATCTGCTTCATATTATAAGTATCTTTATATAAAGCAATGCATGGGGATTTGACAGAAACTATTAAAGAATAACACTTGCTCTACAGTGTGCGTATTACATCTACTGTCACCGAAAATACCTATTGAGCCATGAAGAAAATAAGAGACAAATTCAGCGTAGAAAATTTCCTTTATCGACAAAATCATCTCCAGAGACTGTTAAATAGTATTTATATTTACCGAAAAGGTATAGTAGCCTATTATTCAGTAATAGGGGTGTGTGTGTGTGTGTGTGACATAATTGCGTCGGTGGCACATTGGTTAGGACTCTCGCCAACCATGCACATGGTCCGAGGTTCGATCCCCTGCCGACGCACTCCTTTACCTGATATCTATGGTTGACCTGCAAAATTTGGGCTACCGATATCCATGCTGAAAACTTCATACTTGTACCAAAAATACAGTGTGGAATCAAGCTGTAATCAAAAATATGAAAAAAAATAATTACTAAGAAGTAGCTTTAGAAGTAAAAAAAATAAAAGTTGTAAATTACATGGTACTCAACGGTACAAAGATAGAAATTTGATAAGGTTAAAATTGCTATTGAGTGAGAATAAAGGCAGTTGAGTGTAAATTTAACAGGTATGAAGAGGGCGTGAAATGTACAGAAGGAGCATATGAGAGTGATAATAGTGAAATAATAATTAAAGTAAAAGCAAACTAAAAGTAAACTTGAAAATTTAAAGATAAATTAAAATTTTCACAGGGGACGATTAGTGAAGAGGTTAAGACCCAAGGTAGAATAAGAGATTGGACAAACTTTTTCTGTATACAGAGTTCGGGGTTGTATTGACGAACTGCCAACGCCTCCGCCATATACAAATGCCTAGACCTGACGCCCTTTGTACTATTTAGTTTCACCTTGTAGATGATCTTGAAAGACGACTCTGGTGGAGCTATTTGGCTGTCATCTACTGTCAATTAACCAATAATCCTGACCAAGATTTTAAGACCATTTAACAAAACCATGTCGCTCTGTGGTGATTTCTTATCAGACCCTTTACAGTGGTTAGGTAATGTTTTTTGTATTGCCTACTAATTCGATTAGTTTTACATCCTTTCCTAAGATTCCTGCAGTTTATGAACTATTTTATATGTGATATAATTTATTTTAAAGGCTTGATATTTAACTATGATTACAATTGCAAACATTTTATCTCGCTTCACAATGTTATTATTCTAAGAATTCACTCATTTTGTTTACATTTCCTCACGGGATATCGGTTTCGTACAAAGCATAGGGCATGTACACGATTGTACAGATTGATAATAAATTCGCTGAAAAGAATCTCATTGTTGAATATTGTATCTGTAATATTACGATAGACATTATTAAATAATTGAGAAGTAAATGGTTCAAAAATATTTCACGGGGCAGTTAAAATGGCATATGATGATTTCATCTGATAATTCCCACTTTATTTCAAAGAGAAAATTTTAAAAAACCCTATCCGTTCACAATGGAATTCAGCAATAGCATACATAACCTGATATCTTTCATATATATATAATGGAATGACTATGTTGTACAATTGCATCACACGATCATGTCTACTGACCAATTCAAATGAATTCGCCTCAACTGAATTAGGACTCAGTTAAGTGGCCACACTCTTAATGTGTGAGGATTTAGCTATCTACCTGGTAACCAGTGACTGATAATCGGATAATTAAGCCAATGAACCACATCCCCCACCTTTTACCTCAATCGACTGATTATCCAAGATGTCAAAAATATATTGTTAGTCTATTTAGTGTTGTTTATGTTTGGTTAACCTAGCTGCAATCACAGTTTGTGTAGCAGTGATGTAATCAATGCTACATATAAGTCAGCAAAGATATCGCTTTTCTTAACTTCACTTCAAAGTTGTACGGTCACTAAAGGAGTTTATATATATGCAAAGTTACAAGGCGAGCTCGTAGACCACTACGCCACTGTGACCCGATCCAATGTCCGGCACATATTCTAACTTCTGACAATTCATAATACAGCGCGACCACTTCGCAATGTCTTCTTCGACGAGCAACTGTCCTCACCTCCAATCTGCTATACCCTACTGGTTACGGCTTCTCACTAAAGAACCCCAGGTAACTGCCTGATGAATAGGTCCAGTCGCTAGTGAACATCAGATCAATTTTCAAGTACTGGTATGATGAAATCCTCCAACCAATCAAACAAAACCCCTGCAAAACCAGTACTTGAAAATTGATCTGATGTTCACTAGCAACTGGACCTATTCATCAGGCAGTTACCTGGGGTTCTCTAGTGAGAAGCCGTGACCAGTAGGGTACAGCAGATTGAAGGTGAGGACAGTTGCCCGCTGAAGAAAACATTGCGAAGTGGTCGCACTATGTTATGAATTGTCAGAAGTTAGAATATGGGCCGGACATTGGATCGGGTCACAGTGGCGTAGTGGTCTACGAGCTTGCCTTGTAACCAGAAGGTCCTGGGGGTTAGAACCTCGATGGCTGCATACTGATGAAGAGCTCCGCACTAGGACGAAACAGAAATGCAAAGTTAATTGACAATAAATGTTAGAGTTTACTGAGAGTTAGTAACAAAATAAATTAGTTTACAAGAAATAATGTGCGCAAAATGGTGGATAATCACAGCCCGACTTGATATACTTGTGAGCAATAGTTTGTGCTTGAAACGTGGTCATCAGTTAATATTACTGTATAACACCACTGTGTGATTTATCAAAATAAAATCTTATCCATAATGGAGTTATACTCTACCACAGTGTCCAAGTTCTATATTTATAGCCCACAATTTAATCAGGACAGCAATAATTAAAGAGAACAATTGTTTTCAATAAATTCTTTATACAGACCCTACACTTATAAATCCCATAAGACTAGCTAGCTGATAACGTTTCAAGCAGGATTTATTGGTCACAGTCATATGAAGGCATTCACCTAACCTCCTCCAAACTTTGTTCATATTATTCCATTGGTTCTTATCCTTTGGTTTTATCGGTGTTGGTATTACTCGATTCCTACTATACGTGTTAGGTGTAGATTTGATGAACAAAGACTCAATAATCAACCCGTCTCTCTTCACCTGTCTACATTATGTTTTGGAACTGTAACTCTGTCTCAACGTACAGTGTGATTTTGTGTTGGTATATGCATCGTGGCTGCTGCGTTTTTCTACACTCAGCTAAGTTCCTGTTCCAACAGTTTGATTGCTCTCAGTCTACCGGTCTGACCTATTTAGTTGATCTCACTCAAAGTCATTAGGTGTTGTGGGTAGATTAAATTACTTTGTCCACTTAATTCGATGAAGTCCCTTGGCCTAGAGATCTCGTTCTTGAGTGCGTTTATAGGTTTCAATGCCACTCGAATTCCTGCTTCACTCATCAGAATCTTATGTGGGGTTTCAGATATCGTAGCTGCAGATGCCTTAAATTCTTTCCCATTTATCTTATCGTCATTGGCTCTACTGCTGTTTTACTTTTCTTGCGAGCTTTCTTCATGACTTTCATCAACTTTATGGGATAGTTATTTAGCGCCAACGCTGACTCTATCCATTTCACCTCATCATTTAGATTTTCTGACTACCCAGAATCTTCTCTCGGCTTTTTAGTCGTTTGTCTAAGCCTATCTTTACAGATAATAAATGGGATGACTTGAGGCCGAAATATCCATTAGAGTGCATAGTTTACTTTCTTCTGTTCTTTTTACTTTGCAGCCCAATTCTCCTTGTTAATTTTTGATTCAAATGTAAATTTAATTTCCTTTACAACTGAGTTTACACTTGTAAAGAAACTAGAGACATGATGTAATTTTGACATCGTGAAAGTGTCATCTACACATCTCCACGATATCTTTGGGATAGGATTAAATGTATTAAGAGCCATATTTTTCCAGTTATCCATAAACACATCTGCTAGGATTTTGGATATTGGCGATCCCACTGATACATCTCCTTGTTTGTCCACATATTTCCCGCTGAAATTTGAAGGTTGTAGACTTGAGGCACAACGGAATTCCTAAAAGCATTTCCCCAATGGATAGTTTTGTCCTACGAGTGATTTCGAGACCAGCAGTTAGCACTTTCCTGACTGCTTCCAAAGCCATATTGGCATAAAGACAAGCTATTTGGAAACTGACCATTTTTGCATTATTTTCTGTTTGAATGTCATTTAGTTTCTTTTTCACCTCATATATGATTCAGTTAATCTACGGTCCAGACGATTTTTGATGGGACATAATATTAAGGCTACGTGTTAAGATAATTTATAAGTAAGGGTATTTGTAAAAGCAACCATTCGTCTTATAATGTATATCTTAATAGTACCATTATTAGTTTAAGGCATTAAATTAAACCATTTAGATTCACTTAGTGACAGCTTCATCCGATGTACAAAATTGACTGTAGATTTCTTAGTCTTATCACTGTGTCTACGCACGTGCTAATCTCTTAATATGCATTCAATTTTATTTATTCCCGAATTTCCATGATATAGTCTTATTTACGCGTAACTACTGTGTTTGTATGCATGATTACCAATCAATTGTGAACAAATGATTTGTGTAGTAATCAAGTGATCAGTGCTACTGTTATTTTTGAATTCATTAAATACTGTTTCTTCACAACTGCTACCCCATTTTAAATTCGCTACTCCTAAGAAATTTGAGAAAGTGAACTAATACATTGGCTGTCTCAAAATTTACACAATCTCAGGCGTATTTTAGAAAACGAAAGTTGACAACAAAGTTATTTCAACCATACCTTTAAAGGTTCGAGGAACACCTTCTTGACGACAGGCCATATAAAGACAAGCAGTTGAAACCGCATCATTGCTACGACCTCGAAGATTCTTTGTCTCATGAACTTGTTTAAACAGTAGGTTGGCATGATCCTGTATGATATGAAGAAACCAAATATACACACTGAAGAAGTAAGCTCTTCTTCTCAAATAATTATAAAAACATTTTCTTGAACATGCTGGGATTAATTTAAACAATTTAAAATGAATTATTGAATTGAATTTTTTTGATTTTCCCGTCGATTGTTTGGACCGAAGTGCACGGTCTCAGGTTGACATGTCGGCTTCTTGTGCAGATGCTTCGACGATGTCTGGGCATTTAATTAGTATACAATCGGTGGATGGTGGCTAGCAGTGGAATCCAGGATGCGCATTTCGTCCTGTTTGGAACTCGTCAGCTGGATGTACCTGCACTTCTCAGTGAGTGATGACGTTCCCACCAAAGCTCGAACCCAGTACCCATAGTTTCAAACGCTAAAGCGTTATCCACTAGACCACTTGGGCCACGAGAGCCACCTCTTGTGCAACGGGTCATATTAATTATTGAAATGAATTAATTGACCCGTTGCACAAGAGGTGGCTCTCGTGGCCCAAGTGGTCTAGTGGATAACGCTTTGGCGTTTGAAACTATGGGTACTGGGTTCGAGCTTTGGTGGGAACGTCATCACTCACTGAGAAGTGCAGGTACATCCAGCTGACGAGTTCCAAACAGGACGAAATGCGCATCCTGGATTCCACTGCTAGCCACCATCCACCAATTGTATACTAATTTAAAATGAAAGCTATAAATTAGATTTTGATGATTTCTGAGTTTGTTAGGTGGTTTACACTTTTCTTAACATCAAAAATTTCGAAATTATACTACTTAAAAAGTGTGAACCAAAACATAAGAGTTGAAATGTGAAAGTTACCGGTGCTGTTACCTCTTGAACGTTGTTATTTCATACAAATAAGTTTAAGAAAGCTCGGTGCTTAACACGTTCTACTGATTTTTCATCCAAAAACTAAATTCTCCCCCTACAAAATGACTAGTTTGAAACCTCTTCACTGGAGTAACAATTAAGCCAACCAAAGAAAGTGTTTCTCAATTTTCTGGTTGTTTTCTGTATTCTGGCACTTTATCAGTTGTTTTAACTGAAATGGACTATATCTGTCCCTACAAGAAACTTACATGAGTGGTTATTTCCTAAGGTAAACAAATGTGATGAGAAATGCTAAGTCAATTTAATGACTTCCGCAGTTTCAGTAATCTTATCTTAGAAGTCACCATGTTTTATATAACATGATGTATGGTGTCAGTCACAGAAGAATTCTGAAGCAAGCCTAAGCCTTATAAGAACTAAACTTACGAAAAGTCTCCGCAAGGACCGTGAACAGTGGTGGGCGACAAAAGCCAAAGATATGGAGAAAGCTTTGAGGATAGGCAACACCAGGCAACTCTTTGGACTCATCAGGGAAACGGGTGGGAGAAGACAAATCATTAGTGAGACAATCTCGGAAAAAAATGGCACTATAATTAGCTCACAGGATAGACGACTGGATCGTTGGAAAGAGCATTATGAGGAGCAGTTTAATTCGCCCACAGCCACGCTCAACCTTCCGAGCATCCAACACCTCCCTGAATGGGATATAGATACAGGTCCTCCGTCACTAACTGAGGTTACTAAAGCTGTCACCAATCTGAAACTAGGCAAAGCTGCGGGACCTGATGGAATGACTCCAGAGGTATTTAAGTACGGTGGAGACAGCTTACTGTCCGGATTAACTGAGGTACTAGGCAGCGTTTGGGAATCAGAAGAAGTCCCATCGGGTTGGTGTAAGTCACTGATTATCCCTATATACAAGAAGGGAGACAAGTCTTCCTGTGATAATCACAGAGGGATTAGCTTGACTAATATAGTATCTAAAGTCTTAGGCTCAATAATCATGCGTAGACTGAGTGGTGCTCGGGAAGCACAAACACGAGAGAGCCAGGCAGGCTTTAGACCAGGGGGAGAGGGTGTATTGATCATATCTTCACCCTCCGACAGATTCTAGAACATAGGCATTCCTACCGGCGTCCAACAGTCATTATATTTCTTGACCTAAAGGCAGCATTCGACTCTGTCGTACTCTCTTCGTACTCATACAGCCAGGTGAGGGCTTACGGCGAGCTGTCATCTGAACTGATGACGACCAGTGGTGTCCGTCAAGGATGCCCATTATCTCCTTTTCTATTCAACTTCATCATAGATGTGTTAATGGACTTAACCCTAGGTGACTTCAGTGACTCAGGGATTGACTTGCTACCAGGGAATAATCTCGTTGACTTGGAATATGCAGACGATATAGTCCTTCTAGGCGAAGACGCTGACGAAATGCAGAGTCTTCTAAACACCTTGAGCCGCAATCTACGAATGTTTGGCATGCGATTCGCTCCCGCCAAATGCAAGATGATGTTACAGGACTGGACTACATCGACGCCTAGTTTAAAAATAGGAAGTGAAGTGGTAGAGCACGTTGACCGCTTCACTTATTTGGGAAGTACCATCAGCCAGTGCCAACGGGCTGATCTCTGACGAAATCTCAGCACGAATACAGGGGGCTCGTTTCGCATATGCCAGTTTACGCCGACTCTGGCGTAGACGAGATGTTCGACTATCGACCAAAGGGCGGGTGTACTGCTCATCAGTCCGTTCCGTCCTCCTTTATGGTTGTGAGACCTGGCCACTGAGAGTGGAAGACATGAAAAGACTAGCTGTCTTTGATCATAGGTGCCTGCGCTCTATTTCCCGTGTAAAGTGGCATAATAAGGTGAGCAACATGGAGGTTAGGCGTAGAGTTCTAGGTAAACAGGGGAAATCAATCGACGAAGTTGTGAAGCTACAAAGACTGAGATGGTTAGGACATGTGTTACGTATGCCAAGTCATCGCCTCCCTCGACGAGCAATGTTAGCGGATATAGGGTCAGACTGGAAAAAAGCTAGCGGCGGTCAAACAAAAACTTGGCATCAGTCAATGAAATCCACAACAGTTGGTCTAAGCCACGTGGAAAGGTGTAGACTTCCAGGCTGGGGTCCTCGGGACGGTAAAAATCTATGGTTGGAAACAATTGGTGACATGGCTCAAAATCGTTCTCAGTGGCGCAGATGCATCCACTCCCTGTGACTTATGATCTTCAATGAAACTGTTTTGTATTTCTTTATTACTCCTTTGTCTCACACCTCTGCTCACTGTTTCTATTATGCTTTTCTTGAACTTTCTTCTCTTGCTTCGCGTGCTACACGGAATGTGGCGACTTGAACTTCCGCACATTTGTGCAAAGTTCTATGTCGAAAACAGACAGACAGACAAACTACCAATCTTCAAACTGGTTGTTGGTCCAGTTTGTGTTGGTCACAAGATAAAGTTTCTCGGAGTGCTGGGAGGTAATGAATGCAAATACTATGTGATATATTGAAACATATCACAAAAGAGCTTATATGGTTGCTTCTTCTTTCCCGTAAGAAAATTGACAACTATTTTTGCTTCACACTTTTCCCTACGATGTTTAACAGATTGCTCATGAGCTTTCAAACCTGAACACTTTATCGTGGGACTTCAACTCTGTTCTACTTGTCTTCTATCTCAAAGGGCTTATAGGTCTAATAGATAGTATAAGAGAATGCAGAAAATTTAAGCATTCAGTAGTATTCAAGTAGTGCTTTTAAACAAAACACTCAATTATGGCAACTGTACAGCTATTGAGGGTGAAAGTGACGAGATACCTCCTGAACTTACTGTTTTCTGTTTGATAGTGTATTAATCATAATTGAGTTCTATAGTATCGACCGATAAAAGTGACATTCAGTAATTTATTGAAGCCTATCAATATTACTCTTGTCTGCTGCTGAAAAACAGAAATATCGCATATTAACACTTCACTGAATTTAAAAGCAAATGAATAGTTTGAGCTGCCCAAGACTTCTCAATTACCATGGCCCAAATTTTATGTCAATATAATGGCTTGTAGAATAACTTACTTAATCTCTGTCTAAACACATTAAGTAACCGCTTATGCAAATTTGCTGAAAATTACCAGTAGATAATAGTTTTATTTCAAACACGGTAGCTACTAAGACGTGATTTCATACAACTGATATAATACAAACTTATTAAAAATGGAACTGTTATCATCTTGGAACTTACCGATATACTTTTAGGAAGGTTCAAATGTTCACCCATTTGACCGATTTCTCTGAATGCACTCAAAAGAACCCTATCAGTTGCAGATATATTACGGCGATTTCGATACAGGGGTTTTCCGTTCTCATCAAGTTGCCGTGAATCAGACGGTGACGGTCCACTAATCATAGTTGAAAGATCACCGCCATCTAATAAAGGATTTTCACTGGCTCCTACTCTGCACATATCTTTTGCGTTAGCATCATTTGAAAATGTACGCCATTCTGATCCAACGTCAATTACTCTAACAAAAACAAAGATGAAATTAACCAGTTCTGTGTATACAACGTACCTATCAGCAACAACCAATCCACACATCGAGCAAACCATATCTCCAGCATGAGAGTCTTCTATAAGAACGGCATACGGGTGATACTTGCATTCCAAATGACTCCTACAAAACGGAGAAAAAGTGAATGTACTATGATGCAGTAGTTGATGTGAAGAATTACTTCTGTGTGGTACAACCCATGCAGACGAAAATGGGGAAAATTTGAATCATGGTGTAAAATTGGGCATGGCCACTGTAAAAACAGTGGGTGAACACCGGCATTGTTTTTCTTACCTGTTAGTTTACTATTACTTCTCTTAACTGACCTAGTTAGGGTGTATTTCCTTAAAGACAAAAGTAAGTCACTTGAAAAGTATAAGTAACATGTAAAAAGTATGGCGAGCGAAGTATACCACCCAAGTTTCTAAACATCAGTAATCAAATATATTGCTCAGATATGATGAGTTGGCACTCGTCATTTAAATCCAATCATGTGTTTCTCTGTGTGGAAGTGAACATAAATGTATCTGCATCGTACACATATCATCTGCACAAGTAACTTTCACAGGCTTTCATCAAAATCACTTCCAGTAATAAAAGCGTGAATGTTGCAAGGTACGGATGGATACAAATCAAACCGAAATCAGAAACATATAATCACCATCTAGAACTAAAAGGAAGAAAGTGGAGAAGCGGCTGAGTAAGACGAAGGAAAGGCCGGAAACCTCTCTGAATACTTCTGTGACGTCTTTTCGTCTGAGAGTATCACCCAAGGATATGGCGCGGTCACTGCCAGCGCCAATCAGATGCCTTCAATTGTAGTAGAGCACACAAAGGTCCTCTAAACTGAAGTCAGGTAAATCACCTGGGCCGGATAGACCTCACCCTAAACTGCTAATTTCCTTAGCGGATATAATACATATTCCGCTTACGGAAATTTTCCAAATGTCTCTGACGCAGGCTAGGCTACCCAGGGTCTGTCTGGATTCAACATAGAACTTGGCACCGAAGTGCACCAGTTCCAGTTGCCACGTTCCAAATAGTACACAGATGTGGACAAGAAGATGAGTGAAGAGAATCAATAGAGTTTGACAAATATGAGTGAAACAGAATGGGTAATGGTAGAAAGGAATATGAAAGATTACAGAGACTGAATACATCTGCGCTGGCCATTGACAACGATTTTGAGCCATGTCACCTATAGTCTCCACCCGTTGATTCCTAGAGTCCCGAGGGCCCCAACCTGGAAGTCTGCATCTCCCTACCTGACTCAGTTTAACTGTCAAGGATTTCATGGATTGATGAGGCCATGTTTTTGTTTGGCCACCACTGGCTCTTTTCCAACCTGCACCTATATCAGCTAGTAATGCCCGTCGGGGGAGGCGATGGTTAGTCATGCGCAGCACCTGACCTAGCCATCTCAGTCTATGTAACTTTATAGCCTCGTCGATTGATTTTCCCTCTTCGCCCAACACTCTACGCCACACGTCAACATTACTTACCTTATTATACCACCTAACGTGAGACAGAGATCGCAGGCATCTATGATCGAAAGCAGTCAACCTTTTCATTTCTTCAACGCGTATTGGCCATGTTTCAGAGCCATAGAGAAGGACGGAGCGAACTGATGAGCAGTACACACGTCCCTTGGTTGATAGCCAGCCGGATGTCACGCCTACGCCAGAGATGGTGTAAGTCAGCGAAAGTAGCTCGAGCTTTTCGGATCCGTGCTGAGATTTCATCGCCAATCAGTCCGTTGATGCTAATACAACTTCCCAAATAGGTGAAGTGGTCAACATGTTCTATCACTTCACTCCCTATCACTAAGTTAGGAGTTGACGTGGTCCAGTCCTGTAGCAGCATCTTACATTTTGTAGGGGCGAATCGCATGCCAAACATACGAAGATTGCTGCTCAAGGTGTTCAGAAGACTCTGCATTTTGTCATCATCCTCCCCTAACAGGACTATGTCATCTGCATATTCTAAGTCCATAAGATTATTCCCTGGTAACAAGTCGATTCCTAAGTCATTAGGTTCAGTTAAGGATACTTCCATCAGCATATCTATGATGAAGTTAAACAGAAATGGGGAAAGTGGACATCCCTGTCTGACACCACTGGTTGTTACCAATTCAGATGAAAATTCCCCATAAGCCCTTACACGACTACGTGAGTTTGAATAGAGTGCCTTGATTAGTGCAATGTACTTTCTTGGCACTTCCTTCACAGTCAGACATTGCCATAGTACCTTTCGATCCACGGAGTCGAAGGCCGCCTTTAAGTCAAGAAATATGACAATTGTTGGACGTCGAAAAGTTTGTCTATGTTCTAGAATCTGTCGAAGAGTGAAGATATGATCTATGCACCCTCTACCTGGTCTAAAGCCTGCTTGATTTTCCCTTGTCTGTTCCTCCCGAGTTCTGATTAGTCTATGCAGCTACCCAGGGACTGGAAGGATGCCATTATAAGCCCTATCTTCAAAGAGGGAGATAGGCAATTGGTATCTAACTACAGGCCGGTAAGTCTGACATGCATTATTCCAAAGGTATTGGAAACTATTATAAGGGATCAACTATTAGCTTATGTTGAAACACATGGCTTGTTGGCTGTGGAACAGCATGGATTCCGACCAGGACGATCCTGCTTGACAAACCTACTTTTGGCTAGGGAAAACTGGGTTGAGGTCAGAGATAGGAACCATCTGTTGGACGTGGTTTTTATTGATCTTAGCAAGGCATTCGACAAAGTATCGCACTTAGGTCTCCTTAGTAAACTTAAAGGTTTCGGACTAGACCAATGCCTATGTGAGTGGTTTAGAGATTACCTAATCGATAGAAGGCAAAAGGTTAGAGTTAACGGTGTACTATCAGGATGGAAATCAGTATCCAGTGGTGCCCCAGGGAACTGTATTAGGCCCCTTGCTATTTCTATTATACATTAACGAATTACCAGGGATTCTTACTTCATCTTCATTATTATTTGCAGACGACATTAAGATATGGAAAACTTTAAATAATAACGAGGATAGGTCGGCCCTACAAACTGATTTAGATAAATTAGCTGAGTGGTCAAGCCTATGGAGTTTGGAAATGAATGCTAGGAAGAGCGCAGTAATGCACTTATTCAGAAGTCTTATACGTCGTACTCCCTAGGGGACACAAAACTACCTGATGTTAACGAACAAAAGGACCTAGGAATCATTGTCAGCAATGACCTGAAAACAACTGCAAACTGCAATGCAGCCGCAGCTAAAGCTTTTCGAATGCTATGGGCACTTCGAAGGGCTTTCAAACGATTAGACGAGGGAATGTTCCAAATACTCTACGCAACATGTCAGGGGTCATCTAGAATACTGCATACAAGAGGCGAGTCCATGTTTCAAAAAGGAAGCACATATTCTGGAAAGACTACATCGACGCCTAGTTTAAAAATAGGAAGTGAAGTGGTAGAGCCGCTATTACCCAGCTAGCATTTTCTTAGTTATAACTAAGTTAATTACGTTAGACGACAACTGGAAACTCATTTAAAGTGCAGAACGCTGCTTATAAATATTTAAATTTTGCTTATCCATAAATTTAAGTCTCCGATTGGATTTCCTTTGAAGCTAGCTTACTCATGAGTGTACACACTCATCATTCCAACAAAATTAGGTTTTCATCATGACCATATAGGCGGACGCCTCTCATAATTAGTACCGAAAGAACACGCCTGAATATAAAAAACAGACTGATAGGTATATGTGTCACACACGAAAAGAAATAATCAGTATTCAGCGAAACACAAAACACAGAAGTGGTCAACATCTCTCACATTCCGCGCTTAACTCTTCAATATTTAATACCCGATAACTACCATTAAACACCTTTTCAGATTTATTGTCTGAGGATACAAGGTCTGAAGCTTGTGTTGATCCTTTAATAACGGGCTTTCACGCTTGTCCAGTCACTCTTTGAAAAAGTCCGTCGAAGGCGTTGATCCGCTTATTCTGGGAGTCGGTTCCAGGAGTTTGACTTTGTGTGAACCAGTACTCCACAGCAAAATAGTTTCTTCTTGGCCATTGATATCTCCTGCTATATCCTCTAAAGTTTTCCGACCTGGTGGGAAGGAAAAGAGAGGATTGATCATGTTCATAGTCATTATTTAAAATTTTGAACACTGACTAAATCTCTTCACTGCCTACAGTATGACAGGGAGAAGAGATTAAAACTGTCTAGCGTTTCCTTTTATCACGAATTAGTCATTCCAAGAATCATGCGTGTTGCCTTCTTTTGAATCCTTTGAGGAATATATTATGCCCTTGAAGACAAAGACTAGCTGCCTGGATACAGTTTTCCAGTCTTTACCTCACCAGAAATGTATATAAAGAGATGAACGTATATCTGGTGATTCTAGTAAGGGCTCTGAGAATTGTCCGTAAGGATCTAACACCACGTGCAACCAGCGTGCTTGAGTGCGCTATAGTCTCTAAGCCGTGACTTACCATGACATTTAAATCCAAATGAGTCTTGACTGATGGGAGTGTTATTCCCTCCAGTTCATAGGAGTTGATGCTTGCGTGTCCAGTGAGCATGGTTTGCACATTTCGCTACACTGATCGAGACAATCCATTCTCTTGACCGTTCCTAAAATTTTTGAGGTCCCCTTGCAGTGAGTGTATTAATGTCACCCTTCAACTGTCTCCAGATTTTTGAGCTATCTGAGTATAGGACCATAGAGTAATCGGCGAGCACAGATATCTCAATGATATACAAAATAAGTAGGAGAGGTCCGAGTACCGTGCCTTGTGGTATGTCACGTACTGTTTTCCAGGAGAAGCGTTTCAAGGTGATCCTGACACTATGTCTTCTACCTATGAGGAATTCCCTAATCCACTGCCTTTGATACCCTGACTCTCTAGCTTCAAGAGAATTACTTTGTGAGGAACTTTACCGAAGGTTTCGCCGAAATCTATGAATACGACGTCGAGGGGTCTTCTGTTGTCCCTTGACTTGACCCACTTTCTCTTGCGGTGAGAAGATTTGGCATGCATGAAAGGTTTCCCCGCAAGCCATGCTGTGGTCTGGATAACAGGTTACCATTTTCCAGATATGCCATGATGGCTTCCTTCATGGTTCTTCTCAGTGTTATGATTAAGGTGCTGGTGAGACTAGCAGACCTGTAGTTTGAAGGACACTGTTTTGTTCCGACTTTGTGAATGAGGAATACGATGGCGTCTTTCCAATCACGCGGTAAAATTCAATTTGGGAGACGTGGCTTAAAGATCTTAGTCAGTGGGCAGGCTACGTGGGCTGATAGCTGTTTGAGAAGCATCGGATCAAGATTATCAAGACCCATTGATTTCCCTGCATCTAGTTTCTTCAGGCACAACGTCTTGGTCAACATCAGTGGAGTCTATCTTGTGTTCCTGGGTTGCGGGCAGCGCTGATCCTATAGGGAGTGACGACTCCTGTGTAAATAATTGGGAGAAGTATTCCGCTACTACTTCTGCTTTTTCTTGATCCTCTTCGATTGTTTCCCTGTCAATAGTCAGGTTTGGGACGCCATTGGATGCTTTACTCCTAAGGTTCATGTGGTGATTGACAATTTCTATCTCTGTATTGTTTAAATACTTACTGTTGTTTGTTAATATATTTCTTATATGAATTGCATGATAATTCCGCTAAATACAAATTCCTGGTTTCTGCCCTCTCTGTGTTTTGGTTGGATTCTTGTAATTCGGTCATCTCGAAATACTAATATTTCAAGTACAATAAATTACTACAAATTGGCGTCGCGATGGAGCTAGGTAACCTGGGAAAATTCCCCATTAATGGGTCTCCGCGGGAGATTGCTGATTATTTGGAATGCTTCGATGCGTGTTGGATTTCAAAGAATGTTCGGGATGACAGAATACCAGCACATTTCATCACTGCTATTGGGCTTGATGCATATAGCCTAGTGAAGAATCTGGCGTTTCCAGATAAACCCATTTCTCTGCCATATGCTAAGCTCAGTGAACTTCTTATAGATCACTTCCATATAACTACTTTTGAGACGCGAGAGAGGGCTCAGTTCAATAAACTGGTTCGTGCTCCCAACCAGAAGATTCGAAACTTTATTCTTCAACTTCAAATTCAAGCCTCAAAGTGTAACTTTGGAGATCAGCTGCATACTCAACTACGTGATCGTCTAATTACTGGAATTAATCTTCCTAAATTAGAGAAAGAGTTAATTCAGATTCCTTCTTGTACTTTTCAAACTGCTAAAGATTTTTGTATTACATATGAAGATGTCAACAGTGAATACTCTGCTCCCACTACGTCAGTGCCCGATGTCATGCTGTCCAAAGTCGAGAATACAAGTGTCCATGGAAAGAAATCCAAACTGTCGTCCATATGTAATAGAATGCAGCGAGAGATCAAAAACATTAAACCGTGTTTTCCCTTGGAAAGTTACATCTACGAAGCACTTGCCGTTTTCCGGGTGCTAAGTGTCACAAATGTGGTAAAGTTGGACACATCAAGACTGGTTGCAGAAGTTCGAATACTTATGTTACTCAGAATTCTTATAATTCTCCCAATCTGTCTAGTAAAATGGAGTCGATGTGTCTTTCAACTTTTCAAAATACTCAATCTCATCCAATGAGAACCTCCACTACAAGTTCAGCAATTCAAGCGTCAACTGTTTCCAAAAATGAGGTAGCTGAGTTACGATTCGAACTATCGAAAACACGAAAAAACTGAATGAGATGAGAGAGGAACTGACTAAAATGGAGGAATTGCTGCATATGCATGGATTGCGTCTGTTGAATGCAGAACATACAAGTACCCATGAAAGTCCTGCAAATCTATTCAAATCTCGAATTCTCAGAAAGCATCTGATATCCACGACTTCGAATGTACATTATTACAAAGGTAATAACTATAGACCTTCTGTTGGAATTATACTACAAAAAATGGGAAATCGAGTGGTGAAGATATTAGACATCAAAGATCACTCAGTTCATAACGGACACCTGGACAAAGTGACAATAAATGAAGTACGTCGTTCCAATTATAATATTATTGATTCCGCTAATAATCCTGATTTTGTAGATAATTCAGAAATAAGTCCAGATAGTGTAACAACAGAAGACAAGGGCGAAGCAACAGATCGTTTTATTATGAAAATCAACACGTATTTATACATATTTCAACTACATTATTATAGACAAGCGCAGTCATCTGATTGGTTGTTTATCAGATTAGGTAGACAAACGCAGGCTTCTGATTGGTTGTTTCGGGATTCCTTGACAAATAGAGTTCTCTATCTGCGAATCATATTTTGCCACGTTAACTTTGCTGTGATTGGTTGTTGACTCGGCTTGTTCATATTTTCTCACGGCCCATATTAGTGACCTAGACCTTAACGTAGATTAGTGCCAACCAATCGGCTAGCAGCCTGCTCTCACCACACTCGTCCCCCCGTCAAATAGCTTCGTGCGCAGACGTTCCGACCTTCTGGGTGCTACATCCTCTAGTTGAGGATTGTTACTGACCGGCTTGTCCCACTGTACCCATCTTTGGAGCTGACTGGCGTTAACTCGTTTCTGTTTATCACCTCTTCGGATGGTATATACTTGACCCCGTCTTTTTGTGATTGTGTATGGTCCTTCCCACTTTGGAAGGAGTTTCCGTGAACCTAGCCCGCCTCCAACTGTATATCTCCTGTCTCTACACTTCACTTGGTCCCCGACTGCAAAGGTAATGCACTGCGTCCTTTCTTTCATCTGAGACTTCATGACATCACTGCGCTGCTTCCGTATTACATTCTTGACTGCCTCTTTCCTCTCTGCTTTTAATTTCGTCGTACTCCACTTTTGGTGCATGGGCCAGGTCTCATTGTGTACCGGTAATCGTGGTTTTCTACCATACATCAGTTGGAAGGGTGACTTCTTCGTTGTTTCCTGAGTGGTAGCCCGATGTGTTAGTAAAATCAGTGGAAGCTCCGTTTCCCAGTTCCCGCCCTTCGAGGCCAGCCACTCCTTCAGTGTACGGTTGTTTCTCTCCGTTAGGCCATTCGTTTGTGGATGGTATGGGGTCGTTCTGATCCTCTTGATGCCCAGCTGTTGCAAACGGGAAGTAAACTCTTCACTCTCGAAACAGGGACCTTGGTCTGTCAGTATTGTCTTCGGTACGCCGTGGTCTGCAACAATGTGTCTAACTACTGCATCTGTCACGGTTCTTGCACGTTGGTCTGGGATTGCTACGGCGTCTACCCATCGTGTCGCGTGTTCCGTCATCACCAAGAGGTACTGATTACCATTGGATGTCTGAGGAAATGGACCCATGACATCTACGGACCACAAGTCACCTATCGCGGTAACTGGAATCGACTGAAGTGGTGGTCGTATACACCGGTCACCTTTCATCAGCTGGCACCGTGGACATCCAAGTACGTATCTTGCTACGTCTTCTCTCATACCTGGCCAGTACATACTTTGTCTTAGGAGATCGGTCGTTCTGGCCACGCCTGTATGCGCTAGCTGGTGACATTCTTCTATCATGTCGTGGCGCGACGATTGAGGTATGACAGCCAGCCAGCTTCCGTCGTTCTCTCGCCAGGTCAGAGTCCCGTAGGCATTCACTCTGAGTCGATCCCTCTGTCTGAGTAGTGTGGTTAGCTCCTTACTCGCCGTAGTTTGATCCACTTCTATTCCGTTGGTGATCACCTGTATTACTGTATTCAGCGTATCGTCCAACCTCTGCCTACGTGCAAGTCTTAGTGGGTCTTGTTCTACTGCATGCACTCCGTAAGCGACCTCGGGCACTAGTCGTTCAACCAATTTCTTCCAAGACACTGTGCCATTTGACCTGTCTACGCTGTCATATGCCGCCTTCGCTCGGCCTCTCAACAGCGTCCCCAGGACAACTGTCTTCGCCGCCTGCTCCTTGACACCCACCAGCTCAGCAACAGCCTCGAAGTCACGTAAGAAGCTCCTTATGTCTCCTTCTTCAAACGCAGCTGGCCACGGGATCTTCATTTTCTGGAGGCAGCGACACCAAATGTAACAACAGAAGACAAGGGCGAAGCAACAGATCGTTTTATTATGAAAATCAACGCGTATTTATACATATTTCAACTACATTATTATAGACAAGCGCAGTCATCTGATTGGTTGTTTATCAGAGGTTAGGTAGACAAACGCAGGCTTCTGATTGGTTGTTTCGGGATTCCTTGACAAATAGAGTTCTCTATCTGCGAATCATATTTTGCCACGTTAACTTTGCTGTGATTGGTTGTTGACTCGGCCCATATTAGTGACCTAGACCTTAACGTAGATTAGTGCTAACCAATCGGCTAGCAGCCTGCTCTCACCACAATAGTACTGATGAAAGTGATATCACAGAATCAGTTAGAAGGTCGCAGCTACTTGCAATCAAACGAAGACATCGTTATAAATACGCAAGGAGATATTCGAGTTGTAGCGGACGTGGTGATTGACAATTTCTATCTCTGTATTGT